ATTTATTGGATAGTGAATCTTATAGATAAGTTTCAGGATAATTGACATCTTAACAATATTGTTTCCTGATCCATGAACACGGTGTATATCTTCATTTATTTAGGTCTTCTTCAATTTCTTTCAAAAATAGTTTATAGCTTTCACTGTATAAGTCTAGCACATATTTTGTTAAATTTATCTGTGCTTTTATGTTGTAAATAGTATTATTTTCTTAACCTGAAGTTTTGTTTTTTGTTAGTATATAGAAATGCAACTGACATATGCATATAGAAAACTCATTAGTTCTAATAGCTTTTTGTATATTCCTTTGGATTTTCTAAGTATATAGACATGTCTTTTGTAAATATAGACATTTTTATATTTTCCTTCTCAGTCTATCTGAATTTTATTTTTGTCTTATTCTACTGGCTAGGACTTCCAGTGCAATATTAAATAAAAGTGTTGACAGTGGACATCCTTCTCTTCTTCCTGATTTATAGAGGAAAGCATTAATTACTTCCCTTTCACCCCATTGGTGAGGGAAATTCCTGCCTTGGCCTTATGGGAATGGCTGAATACATGACACCTGACATGACAGATGAGATTGAGAGCAGTTTATTAGTCACATTTACTCACAGCCCAGGAGAAGATGACATTGTACACCATTAAAGGGCCAAATGGAGGTTATACTCAGGAACACAGTGAACAATCAGTAGCTGTAAGAAGCAGGCTTTGTAGTTTCAAAAGGGTTGAGTGCTTCCCTGGTTCCTATGGGAGGATTTAATTGGCTTGTTTGAATACTTCTACGGATTGGTAGGGAACTGAAACCACTCAGGGATAATCAGGAACTATACTTGATCTGTTTGATAAGGAGGGTTTTTTGACTTGGGGACCTTATCTGTGTGAGAAGAATGGAGAGGAGAACTTGTGGTTAGGTAATTCCAGGCCCTCCTGTTTTTACTAGATGTGAAGGCAGCATAAAATGTTATTTTTAGGTCTTATACCATAAGCATTCAGTAATTCATTATTAAGAATAATGTTATCTATCTTCTTGCTGAAAAGACCTCTATAATTATGTGATGTCCTCTTTAAACTTTTTAGCAATATATTCTGTTCTGAAGTCTACTTTGATATTAATCTAGCCTTCTTTGGATAAGTGTTTGTACAGTCTGTTTTTTCTTCTGTTTATTTTAACCCATATATACCTTTATATTTATAGTGAATTTCTTGTATACAGCATAGAATTAGGTCTCACTTCTTTTTTATCCCCCAATTCACTCTGTCAATCTCTGCCTTTTAATTAGAGTGTTTAGACCTGTGCTTTCCAATATGGTAGCTGCCGGCCATATGTGTCTTCTGAGCACTTGAAATGTGGCTAATTCAGATTGAAACATGCTATGAGTGTAAAACACAAACCTGATTTTAAAGACACAGTATGAAAATGTATATAAAATATCTCATTATAATGTTTTGGCCAGGTGTGGTGGCTCATGCATATCCCAGCACTTTGGAAGGCCGAATCACTTGACGTCAGAAGTTTGAGACCAGATGGCCAACATGGTAAAATCCAGATTCTACTAAAAAAAAAAAATACAAAAATTAGCTGGGCATGGTGGTCCATGCTTGTAGTCCCAGCTACTCAGCAGGCTGAGGCGGGAGAATCACTTGAACCAGTGAAGCAGAGGTTGCAGTGAGCCGAGATCGTGCCACTGCACTCCAGCCTCAGTGACAGAGATTATGTCTCAAAACAAACAAACAAACCAACAAAAAACAAACAAAACTATTTGTTAAATATTTCTGAAGGACATAGAAGACTTAAACAGATTTTAAGACATATCATGTATCTGGATAAAAGAACTCAGTATCATAAAGATGTCATTTCTCCCTAAATTAATCTATAAATTTACCACAATTCTAATAAAATAACAGCAACATTATTACTTTTTCTTTCTTTCGTTTTTTGCAATTAGGCAAGCTGATTTAAAATTTTACATGGAAAGAGTAAACAACAATAGCCTGTTTATTGAAGGGCAGAATAACAAGTATGTCCTAAGAACATAAATATTGGATGTGGTATGATTAAGTGGGTGTGGCCACAGGAGTAAACGAGAACAAGGCTTGGAAAGAAGTTTATGCCATGAAGGGTCACAGGGGAAACACCAAGTTTTGGTTTGATGTCAGAACACAGGAGCAAGGGGAAATCCTAGGCCAAAGCCTTTATTGGGATTTCTGTGAGAAATGTAAGGTATAGCAGAGTAAACATTTAGGATTGGCTATTTTGAATATTTCTGGTGGGCTGTGCCTATAGATGCCCATCAGGGGGATCTCTCTTTGGTGCTCCTCCATTTTGCTGAGCATGCCTGTGTCATTGCTCTTACCACATTGTTTAGAAATTAATTGTAAACTGAATTTGTGCACGTTAATCCTTTCTTTCTAGTTAGTTTGTAAACTTCAAAGGCATGGTATTTTTGGTCTGAAAATTACATGAGATAACATAGATGAATTTCCTAGCATAGTTTCAGTCTTTCCTGAGTCTGCTACTTTCTGCCTGAAACTTTGTATAAGTCACTTAAACTCTGTGAGCCTCAATTTCGTCTTCTGTACAAGAGGCTGATATTAATACCAATATCATAATGCTGCTCTGAGAATGAAATGAGTTTGTGCATGTAAAAATATGATTATAAATTAAATATGTATCTCATTCCATTCTGCATCTAACTTACTGGCCAGGCACATGGAAGGTATCATTTTAGTAAATGTTTATGGAGGGAGTGGGTGAATCCTACAGGGTATATTTTGCTTGAAAGAAGGCACCTTTGTTGTGGGTGGGTGTTTTCTGTGGAGACAGAAATCATAGGAGGTCTCTGGGGGAGACAGACCTCCCAGGGACATAAGAATGGTAGCATGGGGAAACCAATTCCCAGGAGCCCATGTGGGGGATATTTTCCCCCCAATTCCCATGCTGTGTTATTTCACACAACAAAAGGGAAGTCTCTGAGGACTCCAGCAGTAGTGAAGAAGTCTATACTCCCTCCTGCACTGCTTCCTGAGGAATAGCTGACATAGAGGAGAACTGAACTTGGTCCTGTCAGCAAGCTGGTTTTCCCGGCTTTTCATCTCCTCTGCCCAGTAGGCATTTGTCTATCAATTTTGATGAACAAAACTTTCTGCAGTGATGGAAATGTTCTATACATATGTTGTCCAACATGGTAGCCAGTAGCTACATGTAGGTATTGAGCACTTGAAAAGTGGCTACTCTGATTAAATAACTGAGTTCTAAATTTTACTTAAAATTTAAATTGACCAATGTGGTTCAATTTAATAGTGTTATGTTTGTCTCTTTATCCTCAGCATCTGCACAGAGCCTGGCTCAGAAGAGGCATGGGAGATGTTTGCTTAAGTGAATTATTCTAAACCATGCTAGATTCTTTTATTGGCTGGATTTATACTCATCAAATGCATTTTCATTCATCGCCCTATTTGTGTCTTAGCACAACTCTTTGTGGTAGGCAGGACCTTTGTCTGTTTGTTGGAAGAGGAAACTGAGGCTCAATGAGTTTAAATGATTTGCCCAAGATTATAAAGCTATAATGTCAGTCTGAGTAGAACCCACATCTTTCTCTTTATTTTCCATCTCCCTATACTTAATGTAGTTCTTTTGTTCTTCTTAGCCCTTATTGACTCCTCCGACACCGACATTCCCACAACCCTCACAGCCTTTATATAAGTGTCATTAGGACTGTGGAAACTACATATATATTCATCTTGATAGTTGTGTGGACATGGCTTGTGAATTTTAAACTGTTCAAATGTGAGAGATAATTCTGATAGATATTTTCATGTAACTTTCCGTACAAGATTCTTATCCCTGATTTTAATGCAGATGAATGGATAGTTCCATGCATGTGGCCAGTATCTTACTTAGAAGGCATTCTGGTCTGTCTCTGCATTTCTGCCTCAAGGCTTTCTCTCAAACTCTAGAAGTCTGCTCAGCCCTGGCAAGCATAACCAGGAAATGTGAGAGAGTTCAAGCTGGAAGGTGGAGAGTAACCCTCAACCAACGGAGACAGAAATTAGGACATAAATGCCCCAGCCTCCGTGTTCTTCAGTGGGACAATGGCAGGCACACATTCTGCCCTGTTTTTCAGAGTCTCCAGCAAGATTAAAAATAGTTGTCTACTAAAGCAATCAACTCAACAACACATTTTTCTTAGCGTTTTTCCCCCTTCCGTCTTTCACTCTCTCCACCTCACTTCCTTTCAGATTACCACCATGTTCCATTCAGCAGACATTGACTGACATCCTATTTTGTGTCATGCACCACGCTGCACTGTGGAGTATACAAAGATAAGAGATCAACCCTAGGTATCAGAGAGCTCATGGTCGAGAAGGAAACAATGCATAAAGCATTTGGAATACAGGGCATATACAGGGGATTGTGGGAGGCCAGAGCTGGTCAGGAGAGGTAATGTTCTAGCTTGGTCTTAGAAGATAATGGCGTGTCACTACTGAAAGGTGGGAAAGAGCATCCCATATTTACTGAAAAATACATCAGCAAAAGGATAAGTCTTTTCTGGGGTTGAGGGTTGCTGCTATCACGGAGGGGCAAGGAGCCAGAACCCTTTGGGCCTCTGTGTGTTTGGGCTGGGGTGGGCACACAGTTGGTTTTCAGTGCATTTCAGTTGAAGACAAGTAACCCAGGCAAGCCAAGGGGAGAAGCTTTGGGAAATCAAGAAACCTGTCCCAAGTCCCCAAAGTTGAGCACCAACCACAGAAAAGCCAGTTTAGCTAGTCTGGGCGGTCAGTACGAGGACCCCGGTCGCCGGAAGGAAAGTGCCATCCCTACAGACCTAGCCCCTGCGCTCTAGGGGTGGCGGAGCCTGCTCACTTGCCAGGATGCGGTGCCTGGGTTGCGGAGGAGCACCGCCGCGGAGCCCAGGTCCCTGCTAAGGCCCGGGCTCGCGCCGCGGGGGCGGGGCCTTGGACGCACGCTCCTCCCAGGCGTCCCTCCCGCCCTCAGCCGCGCGCTGGCCGCCCGCGCGCCTGCCGCCCGTTGCCCTGGCAACCGTCGTGCCGCGTCTTCCTGAGGGAGCTCCTGTCAGCCCACTGATCCCACCACCCGCTCCCTACTGCCCCGCGGTCTTCGCGTGGGCTCGGAGGCTGAGGGACAACAAAAATGGCGGAGGGGAGCCAGACGGCGCCTGAGGCAGGTCTGTGGGGGCGGTCGATCTGGGGAAGGCTGAGGCGGCCAGGCTGTCCTGGGTCTCAGGGAAGAGGGGACTCGGGCATGGTCCTACTCCTGAGGAGGCGCCGCTGTATATTTGCGCGGTGGGTTATGACCTCAGGGTCAGGGGTCAAGGGTGGCGTGTACCCCTCTGAATGGCGGTCAGGGACCTCGAAGTCAGGGTGGTGGAGGGGAGTGTGGGGGAGTGTGCACACTTCTGAGAGAGCATGGACCCGGAAGGGGCTGGGACCCGAGGGAAGACACAGGACCCTAATCCTGGGATCACCTGTGGTGAAGGCTAATCCTAGGGCTAGGCGTGTCATGGAAAGGGTGTACACAGCCCTGTGGGAGCATGGGAGAGATCCCTAAAGGGGCATGATTTGGGCTAGGGGTGGGAGTAGGAGGCTCTGACTCTAAAGAGGGAGGTATACGTGGAAGGTGTGTTACTTTAATATCAGACAGTGCCATGGAAAGGAGAGTTAGAGTATTTGTGTTTGGGCATGTGCGGTGTCCTCAGGGTCACCCCTGGGCACAGAGAAATTTATGCAAATAATCCTTGTATAGGTCCTTAAAAAGACAAGAGGCCTTGAGGGGATACCCAGAGCCCCAGTCCTTTAGGAGCCTAGCAAAGGAGGCTGGAGCCTGAGTGTGAGAGTATGTGGGTTCAGTGATCTTGAAGGTCATTCAGAATCAAAGGAGTGAATGTCCACACTTCTGTGGGTGGAACATAGCCTTTAAGGGACAGGGAGACTGACAAGAAGGGAGACCCAGGATCCTCTTCCTGAGGGAACCTCTTGTGCATATGGCTGGGCTTTGTGAGATACTGACTTTAAGTGTCTCACAGGGTCATAGAAGAAAGCAAAGGTTTTTACAGTTTTGAGTATATGGGAGGGAGTTTGACTCTAAATGAGGCTGACCACTGAAGACCTGGATGTTATGGAATGACATGGATGTGTGGGTAGAAAATCAGTGGCTTTGGGGATATGTGTGTGATGGGTATTGGCAGTGGTATACATAACCTTGTATATGTGTCCTGATCGGGTATTATCATTACAAGAGTGATCCACTTGAATTACTTCGGTCCTGGGGTGGGTGTGTGTGTGTGTGTGTGTGTGTGTGTGTGTGTGTGGTTATGGTACATACACACACCAGAAATGGAACTGAAAACTATGGCACCCTCAGAAATGGTTCAAGGAACCATTATCTCTCAAGACCTTCATTATTTCCCTTTCTTTCATGGCATCTCTGTTTTATTGAGTAGCTCCTATACTCATTTTATAGTTTTAGCTCCCTCATAACTTGAACATGCTCATTCCTTTATTCATTCATCCACTCAACAAATATTATTGAGTGCTAACTATATGCCAGGCAATAAGTTAGGCACTAGGAATTTCCCTGCTTTGGATTAGCTTACCTTGTCCTTTTTTCCTTTTTTTCTCATAGCATTTATTGCCTTTGAACATACTATTTAATTTACTTGCTTGTATTACTTATTTCCTGTCTCCTTCCACTACAATGTAAGCTCTACAAGGGCGTTGTTTTATCAATACCACGTGTCTAGAACTAAGTGTTTAGTATGTTCTCTATAAATATTTCTTAAATGAATAACTGAATTACTAATATTGTCTGTAAGTGATATTTTAGCTGACATATGATGGGGATTGGATAATTGAAAAAAAGGGCAAACAGTAGTCCAGGCAGCAGGAAAACCATGTGCAAAGAACCCAAGACAGGGCCGGATGTGGTGGCTCACTACGCCTGTAATCCTAGCACTTTGGGAGGCCGAGGCGGGTGGATCACAAGGTCAGGAGATCAAGACCATCCTGGCTCACATGGTGAAACCCCGTCTCTACTAAAAATACAAAAAATTAGCCAGGTGTGGTGGCACACACCTGTAGTTCCAGCTACTTGGGAGGCTGAGGCAGGAGAATCGCTTGAACCTGGGAGGCAGAGGTTGCAGTGAGCCAAGATCGCGCCACTGCACTCCAGCCTGGGCGAGAGAGTGAGACTCCGTCTCAAAAAACAAAACAAAACAAAACAACAACAAAAAAACCCAAGACTGGTGGAAACATGTTATGCTGTGTTTAAGGAACTGAAAGGAGACAAGTGTGGGTATATGTGGGGCAATGGAAAGAGAGAAGAGGTATGCTGAAGCCAGATCTTCCAGTATTTTGTAGACTATGATATGAATTTGCGTCAGAAATCTTAAGAATAATGGGAAGCCATCGAAGGCTTTTAAATGGAAGCATGCCATGATTAGAATAATTAAAAAACAACTCTGGCTACAATGTGGAGAGTACAGAGGATACAAGAGTCGATATAGGATGTACCCTTCACCAGCTACAGTGAGGAGAGTACAGAGGATACAAGAGTGCATACAAAGAGACTTTGGAAGGTAGCAGTGGAGATGAAGAGAAGGAATTGAGAAATACTTAGGAGCTACAATTAATAGGACTTAGTGAAATATGAGGATGGTGGAGAAGGAAGTATCAAAGACTACTTCTCATTTTCTAATTTGTGCAACTGGATAGTTAGTGGTGCCATTACTGGGATAGGGAGCATTGGAAGGGGCTTTGGGTAGGTGTGAAAGGAAAGATCATGAATTTGGTTTTAGACTATGTGGAGATTGAGGTATCTTTAGGACATCCAAATAAGTGGAGAGATTGACAAGCTGGTTGTATTTACAAGAAAAGTAGAAACTGGCATAGAGATAATTATTTTGACATAGAAATAATTACTCAAGCCATGGGTGTGGATGAAATTGCCTAGAGGGAGAAGAGGCCTGGGATGAAGTGTTGAGTAGCTGCAATATTTCAGTGCCTCCCAAAGAGACTGAGAAGGTTCAACTGGAGAGATTAGAGCACAACCAAAGGAATGTTTCAAGAGAAACGAAATACTCAGTAGACTGAATACTGCCAAGCAATACAAAATGAAGGCTAAAAAACTAGATTTAGCAACAGAGAGGTCATTGGTAACATTGACGGTAGAAAACTGGTGATGGTAAAAAGACAGGTCATTTAGGCGAATAAATGCCTCAGTCTTTGTTTAATTCAAATTTCTGAGAGAGAGAATTTTATTGACCCTCCTTGTCTTTTACCACTAAATCACTGTCCAGTTTCAGGATTGACTGGTTTTAGATTAGGTGTGCAGCTATTGCTGGCTGGAGTCCCCTGATACAAAATATGGCCATCTGGTAATTTCTTATCTCACTTGAAATAGCCAACCTTTATGAAGTGTTTGTTTTGTACCATGCGTTGTACTAAGTGTTTTATACATTTTACTTCAGTCTCATAACAACTCTCTAAGTTGTCTAAGGTTTTCTCTGTGTTTTATACGTGGAGAAGTTTTGGCACAGAGAAGTTGACAACATAATTAAGATCTGCAAATAATTAGTGGAAGATTAGTTTTTTTGACAATTTGAATATTATCCAGATTCATTATTTGGCTTTGTGTTTGTATTACAATATACCACTTTCTGAAGAAATCATAGCCATGATGAAAATTCCTGCCTTACAGGAAATATTCTAAACTAAGCATATTCTAATAAGGTGAAATGGAAAGAAATGGGCTCAGATCCTTGTATAAACCCTACTTCTGTGACTTATTATATATGGACGTTGGACTCAAGTTTTCTGATCTTCAGTTTCCTCATTTGTAAAATGGGGATGATATTTGCAGGATAATTGTGAATATTAGATATCATGTACTTGAAGTGTCCAATAAATGTTATGTCCTTAGTTCACTTGAAGCTTGAATATAAAAAATTTAAATTTATTGCATATACTTTACATATAAAAGCAATTATATAAACATACAATGATGAATATAAGAAATTCTATTTTTTCTTCATTGGTTTTTCACTGCTTTGCTATCAGAAGAAAGACAGACATTAAGTTTTGGAGAATGTAGAATTGTTACCTGAACTATGTATCATAGGACCGATCTCTGTGTGAAGTAGATTTTGAGGAATTTCTTGGAGGAATGAAGGGACACTTAAGATATCTTACGCATGGTTTTATACGTAAAGTATATGCAATACATTTGAAATTTTTTATATCCAAGCTTTTTACAGAGCATGTAGATAGCTCTGTAAGAGGGTCAGATTTACAAAAGGAAGTTTCTTCTTTTAAATCTTGTGCTTTAAAATGGGGACACAAATGTCAGGACTTTTCTTTTTCCCTATAAATTTGATTATCAATACTAATAAAAAAGAAAATCTTACAGTTAGTTACATGTTGGAGTATTAGTCTCATGCAAGATTGCACCTGCTTCTTTTTCTTAGCTTCTTCTCCCTCTGTTGCAGCTATTATAAAAAAAGCTTTTATTTTAATTACCTGGTAAAATAATTTGTTTTTCTATTTTGTCAAGTTATTTTGTGGAGGCCCTGGTAGACAAACATTTTTTTAAATGATGCAGTCTGTTAAAATGGACCTTAATCACTCTCTGTGAAATAAATGGGTCTATTTCAAAAAGCAGTTCTATATGAATCTGAAACCAATTATAGGCAGAATGTTGAAATTGTAAAAAGCCTTAGAAATGAGAATATTGTTTAATAGCTTGTGTTAGTGGTTGGGCAAAGTAGTAGTTAAGCCTTTTTTGTTTTAGTTTCTGTATTTGTTAACTGGGGATGATAACAGCTACTTTTAAGGTGAGAATTAGAGATAAGTTATGGAAAGTATACAATGTCTTACACCCCCAAAGAAATGATATCTTAATTGGTGTGTGTGTGTGTGTGTGTGTGTGTGTGTGTGTGAGAGAGAGAGAGAGAGAGAGAGAGAAAAACAGAGAGAGAAAGATAATATTTTTTTTTCCTAAAGGCACAGTAGAAAATCACCTTTAAAATAAGAGGAAATTCAGGTCTGCAGTCTCTTATCTGGCAGGTTTGGATGCAAATATATTTCAGAACTCAAATTTCTTTTTATTATGGAAAGGCAATACTGCATATGTACTGTCGATTACATAATACCCCCAATGGGGTATGAGATA